ACATATTTGGGTAGAATTTCTGGGCCACAGGTATAGCATGTCTGACTTCAATGACTATAGGAAAAACCATTCAAACTGCTCCTACTGGCTTCACGACTCTACTGGAAAAAAGTAGTTTTCATCCATACATAAGCTTAAATGGTATATGAAATAAAAATATATCTATTGATTTGCTTTTATCTTTAGCTCTGGTAATGTAGGAATAGGTGATTCAGATCAGCCTCCCATTTAGAACAGATTAAAAAGCTGATCAAAATATAATCGTTAAAAAATTATGATATCAGAGTATTAATTTGACAATGAACTATTATAGGTACCAATAAACACACACAAAAAGGAAGACTCAGAGGAGAAAGCCTTACATTTAGAGCCATTTTTCACTTAGGAGTCAGTCCATTCTGAAAGAGGCAGCTGCAAGGCTGAGAACTTGAACAGAAATTTTGACGGCTTTTAGGTCCAGTAAGGCTGATTCTTGTAAATGTCCCATTCTGGGTTGAAGTCCTGCAAGGCTACACTGAGGAGCATGTCCCTTGGTTGCCACTCTGGGCTTGCTGTCCTTTATGTCATCTCATCCACTGTGCCCCTGACAGTGAGGTGTAACGCCCTAGCCTCTGCTATTCCGAAATCTAATGTCCACACTTGACAGTGGGGCGCTCAGTCCTATGTCAGTGTCTCCTGCTGCACCCTGTCTGCAGAGGACAGCCACCACTGAGCTCAACAATGCTGAGGTCCCCTCAACAGCATGTCCCTTATCACTCCGGTGAAAGGGAGGTCCTTTGGGCCTTCCCAGGGAGCATAGTTAGAGATGGGTCCTCTGGTCTCTTGCAGTAAATGCGTTCTAACTTGCCCATGTCCCCATGCACCCAGGCACCTTCCCATATGCTCTAGCAAGGGGGTTCGGATATCTCCATCTACTTTCTGAAGGTCACTACCATGTCTAAGCCCCCCACAGTCACCTCAAGTCATAGGGAGAGGATACAGAAAACTAAAAATAGCTCTGAATGCTGAAAGGGCCTAGAAGCAACAACCTTCGGTAGCACTGAGCACTCCTCGCTCCCAAAGAGACCTTGGTTTCTAAACAGCACCCCCAGGAAAGTAAACCAGGGTTCCTGGGACAGACGGCCGACTGCAGGGCTGGGGCCAGGAAAGTACAGGATGAACCTGGAGCGTCTCCTTAGGCCAGTCAGGAAGGGCTAACGAGAGAAAAGATAGTGACGCAGAGATGATGCTGGGTCTTCGGCTTGCAAAAGAATAAAGTCAGGCCGCCCGCCTCACAGCTTTGCCAGCGTCGCATGCTGTCCATGTCTGGGTTTTTGCTGGTCTAACCGGAGAAACAGGAACTCCGTGTGGTTTTAATTTGTATCTCTCCTGACACGCGTGAGGTTGGACATCACTTTGTATCAGAGGGTCACTCTCGGATACGCTTACGTCTCAGTTCACATCCTTCACCCACCTCTCCATCCGATTTCTGATCTTTCCCCGCCAATGTTTCAATTCCTTACGTGTTAGAGACATCACCTGTATCTGTGACATATGCTGCAAATACGTCCTCAGTCACTCTCGGATACGCTTACGTCTCAGTTCACGTCCTTCACCCACCTCTCCATCCGGTTTCTGATCTTTCCCCGCCAATGTTTCAATTCCTTCCGTGTTAGAGACATCAACCTGTATCTGTGACATATGCTGCAAATACGTCCTCCCGGTTGTCCTGCCCTTTGACCCTGCGTCCGGGCTCCCTGCCATGCCAGCGCTCCCCAGGGCACTGCGAGCCCTTTGCTTCTTTGCGCCGCCTGGTGACTCACAGTGAGACAGCCTCTCCCAGGCCCCATTATACAGACTCACCCACGCTCCCTTCTAGTACTTATTTGGTTTTATTTTTCACATTCAGATTTCTGGTGTGAGTCCTTTTTCGTGTGGGACATAAGGTACACATCTAATTTTATCTTTTTCTAAATGGCTATCCAGTTGAACCCACACCAGTTCTTGGCCCCAGTGATTTGAGATGTGTCTTTCATCACATACTAAGTGTCCACAGCGCTCGGGTCTACTTCTGAACTTCGGGTCTGTTCTCCCAGTCCGCCTATCCGCGTGCAGCACGCCGCCGCCTGACACGGGGGTTCTCGGGGCGGGGGGGGGGCGCCCCTCCCAGCGCTTTCCTCAGCGTTTCCTTTGCTGTTCTTTCATGGTTACTGTTCCATATGAACTTGAGCATCGACTTGTCTAGTTCCAGAAAAGAGCTATCTTTTTTAGAACTCGATTGCTACAGTGACCTTTCGAATTTTTGTTTCTCCAGGGGACATTTATGTAGAACCAGAAAAGAGAAGCATTGGTACATTGATACTTTTTAACTGTGCCTTCTTCTCCTCTAAGATTGAGCCAAAGTAAAACTATCTACAAACGTAGCTTTAGTTTAATGCAGAATAAAAAAGAAGTCTCTGGAACATAAAACTATGCAGCTTCTCTGGCTGTTGGCATGGTTTTATTTTAAGACCATTTTAAAGGTCATTTTTGTCATATTTATTGCAAGAAAATCTTAGCTCTCAATGCAGTCTAAGGAGAACATCTCATCACGTAGATCAGGAGTGTGTAAATTCTACAAAAGTGGATTTTAGCAGAGCTCTCCCAAGCGTCCTAATGAAGGGAGAAACCGAAGGATGATCTACCCAAACAAAAGAAATTAAAAACAAACGGCAAACAAGTCCTTACAGACACTTAACTAAATCGCAGCCTAAACCTCCCCTCTTTGCTCTCTCTGCGAGATCTTGTCCAGCAAACCGTGATCACACGTGTTTATTCTTTCGGCAAAATAAAGCAGAGCAAATCGACATTGAGCAGGGAAAGCGCAAACCGACCAAAGAGACGGCCAGACCGATTTCTCTCCCACTACGTCCTCGAATGCGCCACCCTTCACATACATGGCATTAGTTCAGGTGTTGATGATCCTGATTCTCAGGCTTAAAACTTGGGAAAATGAGGCCTCCGCTGCTGACCTATTTCAGGGGCTCATTTCAGAGCCTGTCTTTCAAGTTTGGTCTTCGGCTTATTGCGAACAATGAATTTGGAAGGTTAACTAAAATATATTTTTAAAAAACCCCATCCCTCTTAACATGAATAATCTGGCGCCCCGACTCAGGGCTGATGGGCGGCTGTACCTGTTCTTCCTGCGACCCGGTACCAGGTTCTCCCCAGGAACTGACACTTGGGTCACCCTTCCCGACTCACAGGAAGGCCTTTGGGCGACATCTTGTGAGCACGTGTGATCCTGCAGCCACACACCAGCACGGCAGCAGTGAGCAGTGTTTCCCGGCTGTAGACTAGACACAGGACACAGAGAATGACAGTTGGCCGATGCCACCCAAGCCCAGGGTAGGAGAAGCAGACGAGCAGCCTCAGGAGCGAGAGGCGCCGCTTCACGTGGTGCCCGTCCCTTGCTCACTGTGGGTGGCTGGGGGGTTAAAATTGAAGCCTTGAGGCACCTGAGGACAAGTCTGACGCAGCCTGCAAGAGTAAATGGGCAGCTTGTGCACAGGCTCTCACTCCCCATCCCCACGTCGGCCACAGGGCCAAAAGCCCCTCAAAAGATACGCTGACACCTGCAGAGGTGACTTTGCACTCGCTCATCCTGCGGGGACTGGTGCTTCACACGCCGGGCAGCGACGCCCTGGGACAGAGTGGGCACACCGGGGTGCCGTGCCCGAGGGAGGCTTCAGGGGCTCAGTCTGAGAGTCCAGTGCTTGCAGGCTTCTCCCCCGGAGGAGATGCTCGATGGCCGGGGACATAGTAAACAAGACACAGGGCTTCCTACGGCATCTGCAGGCAGAGCAGCCTGCGTGGCCGGTCGTACCTGTGGCGGTCACTTGTACACAAATGAACTATGACCAACGGGCAGCTCCACCTGCCCACGTTCACTCAACAAATGGCTAAGACATGCCTTAATCCCATATTTTGCAACTCCAAAGCTCCCTGCACCACTTAGTGCTTCTTGAACATTCCACCGAAGCACCCCGGAAGCGAAGCAGAGCGAACCCCTTCCTACCCTGGACAGACGAAGACCCACGAAACGTACTGTCTTTTCTCAAAAATGAATGCCGACTTTTGACACTAAGAATTCTCCCAACTTTCTGCTAATATGAATATTTTGTGAAAATTGACATAATCCGTGAAAATTTGCAATGCACCGTGGCTTCCTCGTCCCTTGGCACTCTGCCACACACGAACTCCCGCCCCCGGCGAGCTGCTCGGTGGCACCCGTGCCAGCTGGCTCCCTCGGGTGGAATTCTTCAGATGAGCCCTTCTCGGGAAGATGCTCAGTTCAAAGCAAGGTGACACCATGTTTTCACCAGATTAGGAAAAAATTTAACCAAGAGAACACAGTGGAAGGAATGGGGGAACCGATGGTGAGGTCGGTGTGACTCTGGACGGCACTCAGCACCTTCTATCCAAATCACAATACACGTCCCCTGCAGGGCCAGCAATACAAACACTGGGAACCAGGGCCTAAGGACACCCCGGCAGCTGGCAGGGCCACCACCCAGCGCCCTGGAAGGCTGGCGAGCTCATGCTGGGTGCAGGGTGCTTACGGGGAGGCCAGAAGGCAGGTTCTAAGGCAGGTGGACCTGGACCTTGATGTCTGTAATCGACAGAAGCTTCTAGATGCAAACGACACTGTGCGGTGACTTAGCTCTGCACAGAGTGACGGGGGCGAGAGGGCTGCTCTTTCCTAACCTTTCACACCCTTTCAAGCTACGTGGCGCCACTCACACGGCACGCAGAGGAGCCTGCGTGCGCGGAGCCAGGGGAAGGCCCTCAGCGCGACACGCACATCCCGCCCGACCCCCGCCCAGCCCGGGGACTGAAGCAGGAGCAGGCTCTGGGGTGGCAGTTCTTCCTGGAAAATGAGGGGCTCTGACAGCCGGGGACACTGCCATCTGATGGATACAGTACAGTCTCTTATCTATTTCTAAAACTCCTAGTAGCCAATTAAAAAGAAAACGAACAGGTAAAATTAACTTTAATGTTTTATTTAATCAATCCTATACAAAATATCGATTTCAACATATAACATTTTTAACGAGATAGTTTTCTTTTTAAATTATTGGCATCATCTTCGAAGCCGAGTGTTTTAGATTCTCAACTTAAGATACATCTCAATTTGGACATTAATTTTCTTGAGAAAGGCCTGATCTGTATTTAGCTTTCGAAAAATTTACAGTTCAAAAAATAGACCCACATACCCAAGTTCCTAACGTACCTAAAAGTTTTCTAATAACAGAATCAAGTGAATAGTTTTTAAACTTAAATAAATACAACTACAAGGCCAGTCCCGCAGGTGGCTGGCTACAATTCTGTGACATACACGGCTAGTGACCGCCACAGCGGCTCGCACGGATACACAAAAGCGGTCTGCCCAGGTATGGTCCCCTGACCAGCAGCATCGGCATCTCCTGGGAATCCACTGGACATGCAGATTCTCAGGGTCTTCCCCAGACCCGCAGAATCAGAGGCTCTGGGGTGGGCTCTGCGCTGTGCCACATGCAGAAGCTCAAAGCCCCTGGCCCAGACCAGCCCCATGGACAGCGGCGCCGGAGCTTCAACCACCCGTGGGCAGAGTGGAAACTGAACGCGGCCCCTCTACGCACCACATTTCACGGCTATGACAGCAGGAGAGTCATCGCCCGGCTTTCTGTTCATCCAGGTCCGCCAAGACGTCTGGAATGTGTGGCGGGACAACTGGGGGTTAAGGCCGTGCCCCAGCTCAGATGGCCTTTTGTCCCCCCGTTTCCTGACACCCAGGGCCCAAGAAGCAAGAGCTCTCTCAACACGTGCCGAGGCCGCCAGTTTCAGTCTAGTGCTCGGAGTGAGTCGGTCGCAGAACTGCCCTCAGGGGATGGGGAAGGCGGGCAGGGGCCGCTTCTGGGCAAGGACCCTTAACAAGGTGGGCCTAAGTCCTGAGCTCAAGTGGCCACATCGCTACCGGAGCCACAGGATGAGGACAGAGTGCCATCAGCTGTCGGCTATTTAAGTGATGAAGCTTCTGGAAAACTGGGTCCTTGGCCGACTGAGCCCAGGGCAGAGCCGTCCCCCGATCTGGCACACTCAGATCCCCTGCTCTTTAACTCACTTTATTTGCGGTGTGGAGGGTGCATGGGGAGAATGTTAGAGTAGCTTAACCCACCTCAGAGTATTAATACCCTTCTGACTGTTTATTTCGCTGAAAGGATTTGCACATTTCATTGGCAGGGTTGGAAAGCGTTTCAGGCCTTCGCCATGAGGAGTATGAAAGCACCGGAGCACAAGCTGCCCGAGGAGCTAACACGCAAGCACAGGCCAACGCGCCGGCCTGAGCGGACAGCCACGTCATCTCTTTATTTTGGACCTAAAAGAGAACAAAAGGATATCTCATGTTTTAGGGTCGTCGTGACTAACCAGAAGTGCTTGGTCACATAAAAGATCCAAGCCAAACACAGCCCTTCAGCCAGAAAGTGTTACTGCTGGGTTATGCCTGGGCCGGAAGGAACCATGTTTGGAATCTGGGGTTCGGGAAAGCTGAAGTTCAAGTCCTGTACGTCCTCAGGACTAAGCTGTTCGTGTAAGTTCACGGAGCACTTAAGTTCTACAGTCAGCTGTTAACTGCACAACAGTGGCTTTTTGACATTCACCGCTAGGACACGTAACTGCCACATCCGATACAAAAACGACGGCCACACGTGCCATTCTAATACCTGAATCGCTGGGCCAGCCAGCTGGAAGAAAGAGTGGTCGGGGCGCTGGACGGCTTGGCTTCAGAGGCTCTCGCAGCTGACCACCTGCACAGAAAGGTGAGATCTCTTCAGTCGGCTCCTTCACAGCTCACAGAGAACGATCGGCAGGGGAGCAATCAAATGTAACTGAAAAGCCGCTTCCTGTTTTATTCAACAGCCACTTTAGGCAGATGTCTCTAAGGACTTGAGAAAGGTGCTTCTGGTTAATAACACTAATGAAAGGGTTAAACTGTGTGACCCCCATGCCTGAGGACATGGCCTTGTTCGAAGTAGGGTCCCTGCAGATGTGATTGGTTAAGACGAGCTCATGGTGGAGTGGGGCGGTCCCCAACTCAATATAACTCACGTCCTTAAAATAAAGGACGGTCATGGACTGCCACGTGACGAAGGCAGAGGTGGGGTGATGCGTCCACCAGTCCAGGAACGCCCAGGACTGCCAGCGCCACAGCAGCGAGGGACAGGCCTGGGCCAGCCCCGCCCCGAGCCCCCAGGAGGAGCAGCCCTGCGACGCTGTGACGCTATGACCTCGGATGTCAGCCTCCGACCCGGAGACGACGGGTTCCCACTGTCCCAGCCACCCAGTGGGCAGTACTTTGTTTTGGCGCCAGGAACCAACACAACTAGAATCCGACTTTAATTTAGAATCCGACTTTAATTTAGAGCGTATCCCTCCAAACTCCCACAGCACACGTCGAGGTCACAGAGAACAGGGCCTGGCGCTGCTCCGGCCCTGCCGTGGGGACTGTGCGTCAGGTCAGCACGCGGCGGCGCAGCCTGTTCTCACCCGGCTGTGCTGACGGCCCGGCTCCCGCGCTTGCAGCCGTGGTCCAGGGGGTGTCTGTGCTGAATACAGAAACTGCCGTGACACTGGTCACAAGCCACCTGCAGCATCTCTTTCTTCTTACAACCCGCTTTTGAGCACCGGTATGTAAAAATCTGAGAAGACAAAACTTACTTCAGTATCTCACTGGCTTCAACGAGCCCCCGCTTACGACGTCCCCAGCAAGACCCCTAACGCCCAAACCCGAAACAGTGCTCAGCCATGCGGGATGAAGAGGTCAAGGTCTCGCTCAGAGTCCTACCATCAGCTAAGGCGACGGATGCGAATTAAGGCGCAGGAAGGTCTGACGAGGGTAAATGCACAGGCAGCACAGCACATGAAGCTGGGGTTTTCTCAGTGGGAAAAAACCCCAGGGGAGTGGGCACTGGAGACAAGCACGCGGCATCACACGCAGTCCCAGAGGGCGGCGGGCCCTGGGGACGGCGGAGCTGGTCCCCCACCAGGGGCAAGGGGCGGAACTGCTACCTGTGGCCCACGAGTTAGGGGCCTCTGGGATATAAACTCCCGGGCCCTTCAGAGTCTGCAGGTGGGAAGGTCAGTGGAGAGGGCGGCTGTCCCGCAGCCGGGGACAGCCCTCGGGCAAGGCCAGGCGGGTGTGGCTGCCTGAGAGACCCGAGACTGTGCGACAGCACCGGGATGCGGGTGCCGGCAGAACACGGTGTCTGCTGCAGGGAGCAGCGCAGCCCTCCAGAAGGACAGAGGAGGACACCGGGTGAGGGGCTGGGCTGCGGGGAAGGACTTGGGTGGCTGAGAAGACCAAGGAGGACCGCGTCCTTCTGGGAGGAGGGCAGGGAGGTCCGGAGAGAGCATCCGGACAGCCCGGGCGCCAGAAGACAGGGGCAGGAGGGGCTGCGGGAGCGGCCCGCACAGGGCTGGCGCGGTGGCTAAGGCCTGCGGACCGCGCTGTCTCCACGGAGGCTGGAAGCGGAGCCGAGCTAACGGCCTCGCCTGTGTGCTCCCTAGTTGTGCTGCATTTAACGTGACACGTGAAGACGGCTGACCACTACCGCGCAAAGGTTCGTGATGAGAACTGAGAACTGAGGCTGAAGCCGGACGAGAGCTGCCCCGCCCCCACCCCGCCGAGGACCAGCTCTGCTACTCTGGAGCGTGGCAGAGAGGACAGTGGGGACGGGCGTCTCAAGCAGCAGCCGGCTGACGAAAACAACCCGAGTCAACCAGCAGGCCCCGGGGGAGGCGTGAGGCTGGAAACTGCCGCCCCGGGGGAGAGGACAGTTCAGCCCAGGCTCCGGAGGCCTCTGCTTAAGGGTGGAGACCTGACCCAGGTACTGGCTCTGACTTCTCCTGAAACCATGAAAATGACAGAAGAGGTTTTCTGAAAAGAGATAAACCCCTGAGGGCGAAGAGTAAAATGACAACCACCACGTGTTTCAGATTTTAGGGAAAAAAGCACACGAACCGGCAGCAAGGCATTCGGCGGATATGAGGAAGCCAGGTACGAGCTGGCAGGGGAGCTCAAGAGAAGACCTTACTTACGAAATGAAGCCCCCCAAAATCAGAAAATGGCAGAGCCGGAAGCTCAGGTGATGTGGGACCACGACAGGAGAAATGGCTGTGACCCGCACACCCTGCCCAAGGCCGGCAGCAGACTTGTGCTCTGCAGAGGCCCAGAGAGGCTGCCGGCCTAGGGGAGTGTGGCAGCGGCCGGGAGCCAGGGCAGAGGTGGGAGGGGGCCTGCGAGGACGCGAGGCGTTCGCCCCAGTGGAGACCTGACTGCAGACACCGGCGCGAAGCCCTGAGAGAAAGGACGCTCCTGCAGGCAGCCCAGCAAGCACAAGCAGAGAATCGATGTATCTGCCATTCTCCCCCCAGGAACAAAGCGGATGGTACGCCCCCCCCCAAAAAAAAGGAATAAACAAAGAAAACACAGGACACAGGAAACCAGGGGCCCAACGCAAGGGAGGTGCAGGGAACTGGGACCACCCACCCAAAAGCACACTCCACATCTGCTGGGAGGGTGGGGGATGGGAAGCGGATGTGTAAGTGTCGGGATGGAGGCAGCAGCTCAATGCTCAGCTCATTCTGTGGTAAACAGATAATGCCCAGAATGAAAGCGTGGACAAGACAAACTCATGACAATCGTGCACTTGGAGAAAAAGGAGACACCCCAAATGAACCCAACTGGCTGAGAGTCGAAAGCAGCTGTTGTGGGGAGCAGGGGCCTGCTGTCTTCCTAATATGCTGTACCCCAAATGCACAGACCTCCGATACAAATACCAGCACTAGCTACCAAGAACACCGCCTGCTTGCGTTTCATCTTTTTACATTTCCCTAGGAGGTGCTCAGGAGAAAAGCACATACTAGCAGAATGCTTCCCGAAAACCACAATTAACTCTCCATCTTGGGAGAAAAAGTGTCAAATTCCCATAAAGAAAACAAATCCTAACGTAGACCCAAATACTTAGAGACTTTGATTACATAACTGTAAAAACCCGTGCCATCCACAACACAGAAGACGCTAAGATATCATTAGAGCTTTTTGTTTTGCACAGAAACTATTAGGACCAATCTTCTGTTAGATAAGCCTCTCCCCGCCACACCCCTTTTCCCCTGACGGAAACCCATCAGACCCGAGAGCTGACAATGAACTTGCCCTTACCTTCTCTCTCTTCCCAGGATGGTATTTACAGTCTCTATCGATGTGCTCACCAACCACTGCATCTGGTATCTCTCCCTTCCTTATTGGAATTGGGCTGTTACAAAGTGGGCATACTGGGACCTGAACATCCTAGAAACAATGGATATAAGATGATATTCCAGGTCCAGACAATCAAGTCACAAAAGAAAAAGGTACGACGGTACAGTGCACTTCACAGCAGGCACTGATCTCTGGCCACTCCGAGAAGGTGCTGCTGTTTCATGGATTAACAGTAAGGCACCCAGAACCTGAGGATCGGGTTGCCTCATGTGGACTCTAATGGGACTTAAACATAACGAACTGTTAACCACCTGCAGAAATGACCCTCAGCCAGGAAAAGGCAGCCAGGAAGGAAGCTGGTGAAACCCATCCGACGGTGTCCGGAGAGGGCCGTCTGCCCAGCACCATCAGGTGAGCGGCGGACCTGCCCAAACACCTGCAGAGTGGAGATGACCGAAGAAAGCGCTACCCATAATCCTCCAGCTCCCTTCGACTGCCAAGAGCCTTTCTGACCCTTCTGCAGCTTCCGCCCACAGGGAGGCTCACTCGTCAGCTGACAAGGGCACACAGCCAGGCTGAGCTCTCGGGGACATTGAGATCGTCCAAGCCCAAGCCCCAAGGGCTTTGGAGGGGACAACGGAGTGCCCAGCAGCTGAATGCCCAGCACGGTTAAGACAGCCTCTGAGCCAGGCAGGAGCTGAAGACACGTCAGAACACTGATGTGACAACTATATCCGGACAGGTGACAGGTAATCGCAGAATCATAGAGGCCTGGTATCTGGGGGCTGAAGTGGAAAGTCACCCCGGAGTGCTCCTTCAGTTGGTTAAGTCTGCCAAAAAGCATTGCTAAATGACCTCTAGGCAGACTCTCCCTGTCAAGGGACGTGGGGAGGTCACGTCAACAAATAAACCGGACAAGTTGGCCTAGTCATCAGTGCCTGGCAATTATGAGTAACGTGTGTGAGTCATCCTTTCCTGCCCCCGTGATGACCTAGAAAACACTGGAGGGCAGACCCCAGGCAAACACTGGTCAAAGCACTTAACGCTAAGCCATTCACACTTCCCACTGCCGTGACTGAAGCAGCAGAGTGCTGACGCGGAGCTCACTAGAATAATCTCCGAGCCCCCTTGAAGCATAGGCTGGGAGCCGCCTGCGAAGTCCGTAACAGTCTTACACCTCTGGGCTGTGCGAGTCAGTTTTCTGAAAGTCATCTTCCAGCTTCCATCCTGCACTGTTTGAACCACTTAAATATGACATTTAGGGTACAAACTTACCCAATAAGTAGCCATTTTAATAGCTTCCCAATTAGATTGCACATCAAGTATTAAACCCTTTCTTGCACACCAAGCAGACACAGCTATGTGTTTCCCTGAATAAAAGGAACTAAGTATTTTAACATGTAAAGTAAGCTGTGAAGGTTTGAACACAGCAATCATTTGACTCCCTGAGTCCCTAAAAATAAAATCTGTTTATTTATTAAGAGCTGTGCTGTCCAGAACCTCCTGCGATGGTGGATATGCCCCGTATCCACACTGTGTGATACGGTACTGACCATCACATGTGATTACGAGCACTTGTAATGTGACCAGGTGGCTGAGAAACTGAGTAAGTTTACTCAGTTTTAATTGTTATTAGCTACATGCAGCTAGTATTTTGGAAAACACAGCTTTAGAGTGAAAATCAGAGTTTTTTGAGTAAAGTATGATTCATTACCTTCTTGAATGCAAAGGGACATTTATGGGCAGCACAGGCAAAATGATCTTTACAGAAAGCTTGTTCACAGACATCACATTTAAATGGAAGAAAATCTAAAACAAAAACAAAAAAGTAAAGTTTTTTTTAAAAGACTACAACAAGAAAATTCTAGATCATGTCCAACAGGTATTTACCTACACGAAGTTCTTTATGCCCATCAAACACATCTTAGAGGTATCACGTATGAGAAAAAAAATTGTAGGTCATGAATCTCACAAGGCCAGCAACAGTGAAGAATCCACAAAGCTATCTCTTCAAAGGTGATTCCATCTCATGTGGTGTCACAAGTTATTTAAGTAGCACACTTTTATCACTTGGCCCTATCAACTAATCTAATAGCCAGTTCTCCCCCCACCCCCCGCCCAAAAGAGCCAACAAAATCCCCATTTTCTCTTCAGATTCTCTTGAGAGTACTTACCTAGCTGCTTGCAAGTTTGTTCTGAACAATGCTTCCCCAAATCAGGGAACTCCATTTTGAGACAGTGTCCAAAACGCAGATGGCAGAGTGCGATATCACCTACAAGAATTGGACTAGTTAGGAGGAAAGCATTGACAGCCCTAATTTCAGTCACCGAGATTCAGAATTTACAGCTAAAGAAAGTAAACAAACATGTTCTGTAAAGAGCATTAAACGTCCAAGTTATCCTGGGCCCCTGCGGGGGACTAAAGCGTCACAAATTCTTATCTTTCAGCAAAAAGAAAATGGGAGTCAGCACAAGTGCCGGCTCATTTGGAATCAACCCCATTGAGATGGACTGTTTTTCAATCCTTTTGATTCCTAATTTATGAAGTTCTCCCTGAATCCCGATTTTCATTAAACCAAATTTTGACTCATGTTGACCATTTACACAGCTGCCTGTGAAAGCTGCAGCCTCGGTGAAGTTTAAGTCACAATTTCATCTACTCGATATACTTGTTGACACAAACAAAACTGTTACCAGGTGCTAAATTGCATTAGTTGGCTACACTATCCCTAAGAGATTCAACTCTATCTCTCACTGCACTCTTTAACTCCCTTATGCATTGAGTTTTGCTGGGAACTTATTCCTTAACGACAATCACACTGGAGTTGATCAGGGAGAAAGCAAGCTGTTAACTCACCGTGGAAAACAGGCAGACGACTGGCGGCGCTACTGCACTTGAGAGAAAACTAAGGTCCACAGCACAAACACAAGGTCCCTCCTCATGACCTGGTATCCACCAAACCTCTCGAAATTTTGTACCTCCCATAGTTTAATAATTCCCGAGGGCCTTTTAAGCCCTTCCCATCAGCCCTCTCCAGTCCAGGGAGGGCCTCCATTGCTGTCCCCTAAGCGTGGAAAACTCTGGCCTCAGCTAACACGTACTCATCCCCTCGCCCTGCTTTGGTGTCGCTTCCTCAAAAGGGCCTTTGCTACCACCCCCACCGCGCCCCGCCTAGGCCACAGAGCCTCTACTCTTAAAGGAGTCGGTAATTCCTTTCCCTGCCCCCGCTCAGTCGATTTCCAACTGCACAACCATCCTTTACGATCAGCTCCGCGGAGTGCAGGGACCACGTCGGGTTTGCCCACCGCTATATCACACGCGCGTGACACCGAGGTGTTCCGAAATCTCTCCTTGGAGGGACTGACGAGAACCCGACCTCAGTCCTTGACACCACAGCAGCGGCGCTCCTAACCTTGGGTGGGTCTTTCTGCAAGGGCAGTAACGCGCTATCTGCTCACACAAGCCGGGGCTCGTGTGGCTGGCGGGGTTTACGACCGCGTCTGACCCCGGCACCGCGCTCCAAGATGCGTGCACCGGCCCCCGGCGCGCCCGCCAGCTCCGACCCTGGCCCCGGGGCAGGCTGCCGGCCGGGCCCCACCTCGCACCTGGCTCTCGTCGGAGGCCCGGGCAGCCGCGGAGGCGAGCGGAAGATGGCGGTGACGGGAAGCTGGTTCTCCCTTCCGTGGTCAGCGCGGCGGACAAGGCCGAAAGGACGAGGAAAACTGGACTCGAGCGGCGGCCGAGACCCGTCCGAGCCCACCGGCGAGCAGAGCATCGCGCCGCTCCGACTTCCCTGCCATTTATTCGCAGCCAACCGGTGTCAAAGGGCCACCGCTGCTGGGGCGTTCCCGGCGCTCCTCGATGACGTCATCGCCCGACAGGCCAATCCCATCCCGCTGCGGCCCGGCGTGCCTGGCGCGCCCTAAACGTCATCGGCAGGCCGGCCAATCCCGCCTCGCCAAGGCTCCCTCGGCCCGCCCACTCCTCGCTTCCCCGCCTCCCTTCTCCAACAATCTCGCCGCTTCTCGGAGCTGCCAAGTCACGGTGAGGCTGCTCTGCGCAGGCGCACTCGGCCCGCCCGGAGGCGCGGGAAAGCTGAGTCAGGGTGCGCGGCGGCCGTGTGGAGGGGCCTCGAGAGCCCCGCCGCAGGTGGATGCACCGCCGCAGGCTTCGGGCGGCGGAGCGGGCGCCGCGGGGAGGCCGCAGCGGAGTATGGAGCTGTCACGGCCTAAGCTGCGGGCCCCGTCCATTTATTACCCGCGCCCGGGAGGGTAAGCGAGGCTCGGGGGCGGCCTGGTCCGAGGGTCGCTGGGGTCCGAGGAGCGCCTAGCCGAGTCGTGCTGGCCCTTTTCCCAACCGGGACCCGAGGGGAGCGCGGGCCGCTCTGGAGAGTAAGAGAAAGCCCTTATTTCTAGAAAGAACGTGGGAATACTGAGCTAGTTCCCAGAGAGCCCCTGGCCTGGTGTTTGTCAAGTGATCAAGACTTAACCGTGTTTTGTGTCTGTTTCTGTTTCAAGATCCCTCATTTAGTGTATACTGTTCATTTGTTATCGAAACGGCCGGCAGCACTGTAATTCGTGCCTGAACTCTGCTTATCTGACATGAGTGTCTTCTCCATGATGTACATCGCAGCCTTCTTGGGCTCAGGAAACTGGACAGAACTTGAGCACCACCTTGGGGGCCATTTTAAACAGCCAAGCCATGAACAAAAAGCACACAAGTAAAACTGGCACCAAATAAGCGGCGAAAAGGACACTTCTTTACAGTATCAGAGCTGGAACAAGACGGCAGGCGTCATCTTGCTCGACCTCAGCTGGAAGTGTGTTCATCAGGCAACTCAGGGTTTCACCACTCTGCCCATGTCTGCAAAAGACCGCGAAAGCTCCACAAGTATTGATTTGGGAGTTACGAATAAATTTTAGCAAGTAGGCAGGTTCACGAGTGTGGCATCCACAAATGCAGATCGACTGTGCGCACCTGTGTGTGCTCATTTTCCTTAGTCTTTTTTCGAACCACTCGAGAGCATGCTCTGGACGTGATGTGATGCCCAGCACCCCCACACACTGTGTATTTCCCAAAAGCAGACACTCCTGCATAACCACCCTCCAGCCGTCCGCGTGGGGAAGTCACTATTGAAAAATATTAAGGGCCAATTCCCAGACCCCATTTAGATTATGCCAACTGTGTCAACAATGTTTATTTTTCCTTCCTGCTCCAGGATCTCATCCATAATCATGGTCACTCTCCTCTAAGCTAGGATAGGCCCTTGGTCACTCTGTCCCTAACTGTTTCAGTTTTTATTAAAGATTACAGACTTCATACATATAAGAAGGCAGGGTTCTTTGGAAAAGGCAGTAATGCTGGGAAAAATATAAAGCAATGGGGAAAGAGAAAGAACAAATATGAGCTGGATTGACTCCACGAGAGGAGTCACAGGCGTCTGCAGGTATGAGCAGGGCTGCTGAGGACAGGACCTTGTGGACATCGCTCAGAGTCCCCGGGAGTCGGAGTGGACTCGACGGCACATAACACAGGATGAGTCTCAGGGTCCACCAATGGTCCTTCAGGACCAGACCGGTTCGTGTTTCCTTGGTAGGAACACCACTGAATGGTGCTTATCGGGGACCCAAGATTGCTCCCCATCCCTACCACGGGGAATACTAATCCTGATTAGCCAGTCACATCGATGTCCACTCGTTTTCTCCACGTTTTTCATTCATAAGTTGATTGTATTTCGTGGGGAGCCATTCTGAGATTCCGCCGTTGTCTTGTTCTTCCCCAGCCCCTGCCTGAAAACCTTCGCCTTCGTCAGTGACTTTTCCCTGATTCACTGTGGCCACTGCCAAGCGGCGCTTTTTAAAATTTCCGTCATTTGTTCTCCATTTATTAGTTGGCATTCCGATACAAGGAAAAGATTGCCCTGCTCTGTTTACTTTGACTCGTGTTTGTATCAGTATGGACGCTTGGATGTCTGTTTTATTCGATGGATACTGTTCTGTTGCTATCGTTATCTGTTTCGAGGTTCAAATCGTCTGAGTTTGGTCAGTGTGAGCCCCATCCAGCTGGCTCCTGAGTTCTTCGGACATGCACCATCCCTCTGTCCCCTGCCTCCTGGCACAAGACGTTCCAGGCTCGTGTGCTCTTCCCGTGCCAGCGTGGGATCAGCCATTTCTCCCAGAGCGCTCTTTTCAGTGGGGGATGGGATTCAGAAACCAGAGTTTGAGTGTGTGGCGTGCTTATTGCTACCAGGGTGTAATCGCTTCTAGGCCCTCAGTAGACACAGACGCCACCGATGACGGGCTTCCTTAAATGTCCTCTGAGAACTGCCTTGCGGTCAGCGAGGAAGGACCTTGTCATGACTGCACGGGGGAAGTGCGGCAGAATTTGGAGCCTTAGCGAACCTCAGGAAGTCAACCTGGAGAGGCCACTGTGCGAGTCCAGTAACATGCTGACTCTCCATCAAGGGACCAGTGTTCTTCACTAGTAGGTCGCTTTTATGATCCTCATTCTACACGCGAGGAAGCTGAGGTGCAGAGGTGTTAAGAAGCATGCCCGAGAGGAGAGTCGGGGTCTAAACCCCGGCTCCGCGTCCACATTCTTGACTGTCCGCGGCTACGGCCGGCTGGCGGGGAGAGGGAGAGGCAGGCAGGGGCCAGCTCACGCACGAAAAGGTTTGAACTTAATATTGTGTGCAGAAGGGTCTTGCTGAAAAGTTTTAAGCATGACCTTGAGGGATAGGCAGGGAACAAAATTTATAATATACTTTACACAGCTGTACGAAAAAGAATTGTAACTTTCCCGGTTTTCTGAAGTTCAACTCACCTTCCCTTTGGAGCAGCCAGACTGCCATCGGCAGATGACTTCTTCTTTCTCACTGGGGTTTGTCCAGTCTGCTCTGCTGATTTCTTTTTTGTTCATCTCATGACCTCAGTCACTAGCTCAAATCTCGGTCATTTTAAGGCTTCTTCCTCCGAGTCCCCTTTCCCTGCTCTCCCAGTGGCGTTGGGTCCTGGAAGCTTGTACACCACATGGCAGCAGAGGGTCGAAGCTCTGGCTTCCATGCCAGCCAGTTCCCCTCTGGCCTCTGCAGGACTGAGCCCTGTCCCGCCTTTGGTCACGCGCTGGCATTTGCTGCTGGTGCCGTGGTTTCTGCCACGGCCTCTGATCGCGAGCTCGTGACATGCAGTGTAAGCCCGTCCTGACCGCAGGCTACATCTGTTTCAGAGACCCACTCGGCCTTCCGTGCCAGGGCGCTGGGGGTTTGGGGGCCCCCTAGAGCCTGCGGCTCTGGGGCAGCACCGCAGGTCCTGTCCGTGCCTGAGCACACCCCAGGTGCCCGCTATGCGCTCTGCCTGAGTTGGCGTGGGGAAGCCGTGCGCCTCCCGGAGGTGCAGATGGGAAGCAGGCGCGGACTCCTCTGCTTTCAAATGTTCATCCTCTCAAGTCCTACAGCTGGGGGTGGTAGGGGAGCGGCGGGCACGTTCTCGGGGACCCAGGCATCACCGTCGCCCAGGTGCCTTCCCTTTCGAAGCTCTCCAGACTTCTCCCCAGCCCCGGAGGTCATTTCCTTCCACGCCGAGGAATCTTCTCACACATCCTGCCTTTGGGTTTCTCGCCCTAGGGTAAATCTGAGCTCTGGTTCATGGTTCCTTTTTCTCTCTCTTCTCCCTCTTGGAAGCCTTGCTTTAAGCCTGTGGCTTGCTGTGAGCTCTTAAAAGTTTAGGTTTAAAACTCAAAACCGAGCGCTGACTTCTTTGGCCCAGGCAGACCCCTCTGCTCTCCCCTTGCAGGCAGCTGTGAACGTCGGTGGCCTCATGGCTGAGTCGCGATGGCGGGAAGCCCCTCAGTTACGCAGAGGAAACGCAGCGACGCTGTGGTCGCCGCACACGTGGCGCTTTAAAGCATTTGTTTGGCTGCAGGATGCGGAGGACAGACCGAGAGGCAGGAGCCAGGGGCGCAGGTGAGAGGCGCAGGGCCCCTGCCCGCCTTCAGGCTTTCCTCGCGGACGGGGCCGAGCGTGGGGTCCAGTCTTTCGGGGGCGGAGGGCCTTCTGGGACACATTTCCTCCCTGATAAAAAACAGACACCCGTTAGTACGTAGCCCTCTTCCAGAAGGTACTTTCGTGACGCTTAGAAATAGCCTTCTTGCTAACAGGAAGGGCTAAGGACCGAATCAAACGCTGCAGCAGAGAGAAAGGGGAAGACGCCGGGCTGTGGATGCTGACCGAGCGCCTCGCCTCTGGGCTTCTCGTGACGCAAGGTAACACGTATCCTCGTTGTCAAAGGCGTTTTTTGTTGTTTTCCTATTTGTAGCTAAAATCATTCTCACTAATAAGTGGGGAAAATTGCTTCCGTTTAGGATATATCAGCTGTGAGATCAAAGTTGGCGGATAAGCATGGGCGCATGGCTCTGGGCCTCCGGGAAAGAGGTCCGGCCTAGGGAAGTAGAGTCGGAACTCGTCGCCGTGAAGATGGCGAGTGCGGCCCGTCGACAGGATTGTCCGCGAGGGTCCCCCACAGAGAGGAGGGCCCAGGCCTGCCCGGCGAAGGCCACGCATGAGAAAGGGGACGGGCCCAGCTGACTGCACAGCAGCCCGGTGCAGGGAGGATGCGTGGCACTATCGCAGGCCCAGGGCGCTCAGGGACGTTTGACTGCGTCAGCCCAGCTGTGTCCATGACGAGTTCCGAGGCCCGCTCCCAGCTGCGGCCCTGACCTTGGCAGCGGCCTTGCTGGGCCTGGGCGCTCACCCTCTCTGGGGCCCTCTCTTCTTACCGTTGAGCCCCGGGCCTGACTCAGCTCCTCCTGCAAGACCCCAGGTCTGCCCTGCGCTGCCACAGAAGCCCGGGCAGGGCTGGGGGACGCACTGCACCTTAAGTTGGCGACGAGCCAGCCTTGGCCTCTCCCAGTCGTCCCGCATCAGTAGCACCCAGCAGCCACCAACCTGTCCTTGTACGTACGGCCCACTCCTCCCAAATGCCCGAAACCGCAGCAGCTGACGAGTTCCTCCCACCGCGGTCCACCCACTTGACCCCTTAAAAGTTTGTTTTTAGTCAATAGATTTCGTTTTCTAAAACAGTTTCGGATTTGCAGAAAGCGTGAGCAGACGGCAGAGTTCCCAGATACCTGCTCTCCTCAGGCGCCATCTCCCCTGTTATTTGCCAACTTGCATTATTGTGATACATGTGTTACAATCGGTGAACCAATATTAATACATGTTATTAACTAAAATCCGCAGTTGCTATTAAAGTTCTCCCTGTGTTGTGCGGTATGGTTTCGGACAAATGTTTGGCGTCAGAACGGTTTCACTGCCCTGAGAATCCCCAGGCGTCACCTGTCCATCCTTCCGCCTGAGCCCTCGGCAGCCACTGACCCTTTCCTTGTCCTGAGTTTTGCCTTTTCCAGAATGTGCTATGCTTGGAGTCGTACAGCATGCAGCCTTTATAGATTAGCTTCTCTCACCTGGTATCATACATTTATGTCTCCATGTCTTTCGTGGCTGACGGCTCATTTCCTTTTATCACTGAGTGATATTCCATCATCTGGATGGACCACAGTCTATTTATCCATCACCTCCTGAAGGACGTCTGGGTTGCTTCTGAGTTCGGCGATCATGAGCATCGTTCCCGTAAACATTCGCGTGCAGGTTCCCGTGCGGCCATGTGCCCAGCCGGGGAAGTACACAGGAGCGCGCCCGCCAGGCCGTGCGTGAGGGCACAGGTAGCTTTGTGAGGAACCGCCAAGCTCTCCCGGGAGCGGCGAGGCGAGCTCCCACCGCGCTGCGTCTTCGCCGGCAGTTTTAAATTTTAGTGAAGTCTGACATCGACATTTTCTTTCAGAGATCACGTTTTCGGTGTCGTGTGTAAAACTCCTTCGCCAAACCCAGGGTCACCTAGATTTTCTCCTGTGTCGTCATCTAGAATTTTTGTTGTTTTGCATTTTACAGTTAGGTGATTTTAAGTTACGATCCATTTTGTGTTAGTTTGTATGAAAGGCGTAAAGTCTGTCTCGATTCATATTCTTTTGGATGTGGATGTCTAAGTGTTCCGGCACTATTTGTTGAAAACACTCTTAATCCCCCAATGAATCGCACTTGCTCCTTTGTCACAGAGCAGTGGGCTGTGTGTGTGCGGGTCTGCGTGCGGCTCTGCGTGTATGCGGCTCTGCGTGCTGGTCTCCATCTGTGCAGGTCTGCATGTGGGTCTGCGTGTATACGGTCTGCGTGTGTGCAGCTCTGCATGTGGGTCTGCATGTGTGCAGCTCTGCGTGCGGCTCTGCATGTGTGCGGCTTTGTGTGTGGGTCTGTGTGTGTGTGGGTCTGTGCGGGTCTGTGTGTTGTGGGTCTGCATGTGTGTGGGTCTGCGTGTGGGTCTGCTTGTGTGCGGCTCTGCGTGTGTGCGGCTCTGCGTGTGGGTCTGCGTGTGTGTGGGTCTGTGTGCGGGTCTGCGTGTTGTGGGTCTGCATGTGTGTGGGGCTGCGTGTGTGCGGCTCTGCATGTGTGCGGCTCTGCGTGTGGGTCTGTGTGCGGGTCTGTGTGTGTGCGGCTCTGCATGAGGCTCTTCGTGTGTGCGGGTCTGCGTGTGGGTCTGCGTGTGTGTGGGTCTGTGTGCGGGTCTGCGTGTTGTGGGTCTGCATGTGTGTGGGGCTGCGTGTGTGCGGCTCTGCATGTGTGCGGCTCTGCGTGTGGGTCTGTGTGCGGGTCTGTGTGTGTGCGGCTCTGCATGAGGCTCTTCGTGTGTGCGGGTCTGCGTGTGGGTCTGCGTGTGTGTGGGTCTGTGTGCGGGTCTGCGTGTTGTGGGTCTGCATGTGTGTGGGGCTGCGTGTGTGCGGCTCTGCATGTGTGCGGCTCTGCGTGTGGGTCTGTGTGCGGGTCTGTGTGTGTGCGGCTCTGCATGAGGCTCTTCGTGTGTGCGGGTCTGCGTGTGGGTCTGCGTGTGTGTGGGTCTGTGTGCAGGTCTGCGTGTGTGCGGGTCTGCGTGCGTGTGGGTCTGCGGGTCTGCGTGTATGCGGGTCTGTGCGGGTCTGCGTGTGTGCGGGTCTGTGTGTGGCTCTGCGTGTGTGTGGCTCTGCGTGTGTGCGGGTCTGCATGTGGGTCTGCGTGTGTGCGGCTCTGCGTGTGTGTGGCTCTGCGTGCAGCCCTGTGTGCGGGCTTCTGTTCTCGTCTCACCGGCCTACGTGCGTGCGGGTCTGCGTGTGGGTCTGCGTGTGTGCGGCTCTGTGTGCAGCTCTGTGTGCGGGCTTCTGTTCTCGTCTCACCGGCCTGTGTGTCTGTTCTTTGGCTAATGCTGCACCGTGTGCCTGGCCATGGCAAGTTTTGAAGTCAGAGGGCATTGAAGCCTTAACGACGTCACACATCAGGGATGGTCAGAGCTCAGCCTGCAACCTCCCTGAAGAATCCTCCTTATCGGCCTCGCTGCCAGCGGGCAGGCGACCCGGCTCAGAGCTTCCGTTCTAAGTTTACTTCTGGGCTCGTGCTTGACGCCCACTGCCCTTCCCCAGAAACGGGCTCCAAGGCAAAGCGTTGAGCGCCGGGCTTACTGCGGGGTGCGCCCACGAGCAGCATGTGGGGGGGGCGCGGCATGCGGCAGCGCGGAGCTGAGGCGCCAGTAGCCGTGGCAGAGAGGAAGGGACGAGGCCATCGTGCGCTGCCTGCCGACTGGCCACTCCATGCAGCTGCCTCAAGTGACGTGGTCCCCTGCAGCCCCGGGCAGCCCTGGAGGGCGACACAGCCGAGGACACCTGACCTCAGAGGGTCCTGGACAGTGCACCGCGGTCCTTCGGACCTCGGCAGGAGCCACTGGTCAGGGAAGCCGTCTCCATTTGTGGGCGAGGCCCAAGGCTGTGCGGTCACCCCAGCACCTCTCCCGAGGCCTTTCTCCACGCTCTGCAGGATGCTGACGGCGCAGAATTTAAAACCCATCTGTGATGTCAGGTATTAACCCAGCCCCCGGGACAGGACTGCAGCCCCTTGCTCCGAGGAGGAGTGGGCCGGGGGACAGAGGAGAGTTACCTGAAGGCCTCCTCTAGCTAAGCTGGTCCCAGCACCGGCACGTGCAGGCTGCCCGCCTTTCCAGTCAGGCTCGGTCATGTTGCCAGCCGTCAGATTGTCAGGAAAAGCTTAGAACTACTTAATCAAGCAAGGACAAAGGCTAGGAGACCAGCTGCCCATCCGTCAATATTAATAGAAGCAAGGATTAGAAATTAGTCAGGGCTTAACTGATATTTTTAGAATTCCACTTGAAAAGGATAAGGATTCTAAAAACAGGAGAGTGGTGGATGCTGTATAAGTCAGTGAAGGATCATAGTTAGCTTCGTGTTCTTTGTAAAGAAACTCTTACTGTTAGAAATGATGTGGGAGGATTTGGATATAAAATTGCTTGAAAAGCGGAATTTGATCTGAGACAGGCAGCCTAGATCAATGAGAGGAAACACGCCCACGAGTCGTGTTGAAGATTTTCAGAGATGTGTACGACGATGTGAACGCTCGGTGCAGCCTGCATCTGCCAAGAGCTCGATAGCGCGCGACTTAAAGACTCGTTCCGAACGTGGGAAGTGGGCAGACGAGCGGAGAAAGGCCGCATTGCCCAGGCGCCGCCTCTTCGTGCGGCATCCGTGCCAGCTCCACTGGCGGCGACGTGAGACCGATTCATTCCTCGTCCCCGACGCCACGCGGGGAGCCCGGCACAGAGCGGGGGCTCGTCCGTTCGTTCACACGGGCCCGAGCACACGGATTAATCTCGTTTCGCCGGTACCGGTTCGAACGGGAAGTCTAAGCAGTAAGGAGTGAGTGCTTCGCGCCGCTGAAACGATTCGCCTTACCCTCCGTTTCAATGGGAAGAGTAAGGACTTCTTCCCGTGACGGATAAGCAGCTTCGCAGAGTCCTCGTTGAAGGCTCAGCCCGAGGATCAGGTCCTCTGGAGAGACAGCTGGCGGATGTCCCCTGGGCACACGGAGCCACTGGTGGCTGATGGGAACCTCCAGTCGGGAGCGTGTGAGGATCCCGGGGAGCGGGCGAGGCGGAAGGAGGCGGGGCTGCGGTGCCGTGGGCACACGGGGACCGCCGCTCGTTATCTGTCAGGGTGCGGGACACTCGATGGGTGGTCGGGAGTCCCAAGTCGGGACCCGAGGGCAGCACTGCCAAGAAGACAGGCGTGGTGGGAGGTCCCCCGACCCGCGCATCCAGTGCTCCGTGGCTCCTGGTGGGGGGCGTGGGCCCAGGGGCAGACCCAGCTCTCCCAGTGAGCATGGGCAGGCGGCCCGGCTGTCATGAGTGGAGGGCCCCAGAAGAGATGAGTGTCGCCCGAGTGAGCCACGATCAGAACCAGAGAAGAATGTCCCCTTGACAAACTCCGTGTAGGACCGTCCCGGAAGCCCTCGCTAGCGCCACGGGACGAGAAAAGGCGACGCAAGCAGAACAGCCGCCTTTGCTTACGGAGGCGCCGCGGAGCTGCGGACTTGATCACGGTTAAGACGGGGAATTTCACGTTTCGTGCAGTTTATGATTTAAAAAAATAACCTACTTTCTCAATGAGCCCGACCTCCCTCGACTCCCTGTGCAGAATCTGCGCCCACAGCCCCCGCGGCCCTTCGATTTCGCCCCAGTGCCGCGCGCCGTTTCCCGAGCCACCTCTCTTTCCGATGAGCTCATGCACTGGATGTCGTCCCACTACGATGCGGGGACAGAGCTGGTCGTTTCGTTCCTGTCCCCAGCCCATCGAACACACTCACACATAGAAACGTTCAATAGATAGTTGTTTACAAAAACAACTGTGTCACGTACTACGCAGTCCACCTGTTTAAAGTACACGATTCAGTGATTTTAGTGTATTCAGCCATCACCAGTATCTAATTCCAGAGCATTTGCATTATCTCGAAAAGAAAGCCCCTACTCACTCGCCATGTCCCCCTGCCCCCCAGCCCTAGGCAACCGCAGGTCGCCTCCCGTCCCCCTAGCGTCGTACAAGCAGGACCCCGGCTCCTCTCACGAGGCAGCTGTCGTCAGAGTCCGTCCATGTAGCGTTTCTCTCTCTCTCTCTCTCTCTCTCTCTCTCTCTCTCTCTCTTTGTCTGTCTGTCTCCCTCCCTCCCTCTCTCTCTCTCTCTCTCTCTCTCTCTCTCACCCACCTCACCTTCTCGCCATCATCTACCCAGATGGGCTTTCACCTTCGCTCACCTTCCCAGGCTCGGCCCCGCGGTACCCGGTGCCAGCGCGGGGCCACCCGGGGCCACAGCGCTGCTTCAGAAACAGGCGTCCATCCTGCGACGCT